GTCTAATAACAAGCTTTATTTGCAGGTAGGACCGTAATTTTATTTCCTGTGCTCATATTTTTTTCCTGTTTATTTTATGCATATTCACATTGATTTTATTACCATTCGTACATCGTGGGTTTTTTTGTAGTGGGAGAATTTCACGCGGAGATTTGTTTAAAATTCTTTGGAAACAAAAAGTTCCTTTAAGTAGGTTCCATTGCACAATATCAACATTTAGGCTGCTGTCATGCTCATGGGGATGAACCTAAGCAAATGAACGGGGAATTTCCCCCTCATGACAGTAGGGAGATTTATATAGCCATAGAGCATGGTCCCTTACTGTGCTCCGGAAGGCGGTTGTGAGAGACATTGCACTTCCCCCCAGGAACATCCCAGTCATGGCTGGGAGCCAGCAAGCATGCAACCCAGCGGATGCGCTCTTTACAGCAATACTGCTGCATCACAGAGGAACACTTCCAACAAGTTAAAGGTAAAGGGACCCCTGACCATTAGGTCCAGTCGTGACCGACTCTGGGGTTGCGGCACTCATCTCGCTTTATTGGCCGAGGGAGCCGGCGTACAGCTTCCAGGTCATGTGGCCAGCATGACTAAGCCACTTCTGGCAAACCAGAGCAGCGCACAGAAACGCCGTTTACCTTCCCGCTGGAGCGGTACCTATTTATCTACTTGCACTTTGACGTGCTTTCGAACTGCTAGGTTGGCAGGAGCATGGACCGAGCAACAGGTTAGTCTGTGTTAGTCCCTTGCATAGGGCTACCAGACGTCCCCAGTTCCCGGGGACAGTCCCCAGATTTGCAAATATGTCCCCAGAAAAATTCCATCCCTGGAATGTCCCCAGATTTGCAAACCTGTCCCTGGGAAACGTGGCAGTGGCAGCCTCAGCAGCCCTGAGCCAGCCTGGTAGCGCAGTTGGCTCTGGCTGGCTTCAGGAGCTGCTAGCTGCTGGGCCACCCACCAGTTTTCCTTCTGGAAGTCCCCATATGATGTGTCTTCCGGAGAGGAAAAATGGTGGGCGCCTCGGCAGCGGGCAGCGAGCTGCCACTGCCACTGCCAAAGGGGAACCAGGGACGTCCGGCGGTATAGATCTCCTGCCCCCTTTGTTTTGACTGATCAAGGGAGGCTTGGGAGTCGCAGTTGCCCAGTTTTTAAAAAACAGCACATTTATGTTTCACAGGGTGCGAAAGAAGGGCTTTGCACCTTGCCTGGCAGAGAAACCGTGTGCCTTGTACCCCTCCTGGGCAACAGCTGCCCACCCGTGACTCCTGAGCCTCCCCCAAACAAAGGGGGAAGGGGGCAGGAGATCGGGGAAGGCTTGGGAGTCACAGGTGGACAGCACGCCATTGCCCAGGTTTTTTTTAAAACTGTGCATTTATGTTTCACAGGGTGCGAAAGAAGGGCTTTGCACGTTGATACAATATACATGTGTGCTTGGGCCCAGGGTCTTTTGCCTCACCATCCCCACTACTGACTCCCTGTTGCTACTCAGCTTCCAAAACAAGTGTCCCCGGATTCACTGAAAAAGATCTGGTACCCGTACCCTTTCAGCAAAGGGACGGCATGCTGACACAGCACGCATTTGCCACCGGAAGTTCATCTGCCGCAACAGCCGCCAGCCAAGGCATGTCGGTGCTGAATTCCTACACTGAGCAGTTGCAAGTGCACCAGTGAAACAGTGCAGCAAAAGTGCCCTGCAGTGTTCTGGCAACAGGGCTGAATGACAACAAAGCAAGATGGTGGTTTTTTTAATAAAAGGATCGTGTTCTTCAAGTACAAAAAAAGAAAATCTTGCAAAAATCAGATCTGCCCCTAGGTATGTAACAAGGGTGTGGGACAGGTCTTGAATTTGTATATGCATGCAGAGGCGAAGCAAGGTGGGTGCAGTGGGTATGGTCCGCCCCGGGTGTCATCCTGAGGGGGGTGACATTTGGCGTGGCGTGCATGCCTGTGCTGGTCCCGTGGGCTAACCGAGAGGCAAGGTCCGAGTCCAGTCCAAGGTCGAAGGTGCGGTATGGAGGCAGTCTGAAGAAGCTGAGGCAGTCTGAAGAAGCTGAGTCGGGTGAGGTCAGGAGCTCCGGCAGGATAGCAGGACAGGGTTCAGGCAGGAACCGACAACCAATGAAGTTGCTCCCGCAACTTGGGACTGGGGCTGGCTGGCTTTTATCTGCCCCGAGGCATAGGGCGGCCCCGGTCCACAGGTGACTCGCCTCTCCTGGCCTGGATGTGAGCACTCCTCCTACGGGAACTTAGTTCCCTCCGCCTCTCTCCCCTGAGCCTCTGCAGCTCAGGAGAGGCTGGAGGGTTACCGGACCCAGAAGCAACCTCAGCTTCCCCTGACGGGGCTGAGAGTGGAGCACCTGCAGGCAAAGGGTCCTCCACCCCCTCAGGAGCCAGAGCAGACTCAGCTGATGCCTGCACCTGAGGATCCAGCACAGGTGAGGACCCTTCGGGCTCATGCCCCAGCCTCGGCTCAGCTGGTTCTGGAGGTGGGGAATCCTGTGCAGGCTGGGATTCCTCAGGTTAAGCATCTGAGTCCGAATCCCAGGCCATCACAGTGCCTTTGCCCCCGCTTCCGGCTGGAGGAGGCAGGCAGGCAAGAGGACAAGCTGCGTGGCTCCTCCCCCTGACGGCTTGGGGTGTGCTTGGGAGTCACGGGGGGGCACCAGGGCACCATTGCCCCCACTCCTGGCTGGAGGAGACAGGCAGGGGAGAGAACAGGTGACATTTGGCACACCCCCTGAGACTCCCAAGCCTACAGTGAGTGGTGGCCCCAACAGCCCATCAGGGCCGCCGGCAAAGCAGCAAAACTCCCCCCTTTCCCCCAGCTCACTGTAGGCTTGGGAGTCACGGGCAGGGGGGGTGTGATAAAAAAAATCCACACTGGGTACCACCTGACCTTGCTACGCCTCTGCATGCTTGATTGTTTTCACTTGAATTTAGGTCTACTCTTTAGTCCTGAGAAAGTTGCTATCATCAGAAGGTTCCAAGAAGCAAAGATGCCATGGAAAACACTTGGGGTTGGTTCTCTGGTCCCCAGACTCAAATGCTGAATATTGTATGGTTCTAAGAATACAAACCAAGAGGGAATAACTTAGTCGCCTCATTTGACTGTGCCCAAAGCACCTTATATTGAGGAAGGACATGTCACATTTCAAAAGTTGGAGTCCCTTCCGACAATTAGCCAGATTAATAGGCCGTTTGAGATCTCCCCATTATGTACATGAGAATTGCCTATTTGGATCAGTCTCAAAGTCGATCTTGCCCATGGTATCGGTATCAACGGTCACCTGAAGTAACCTGCCAGGTGCCCCCAGGAAACACAAGATCTCCTGACCAAGGCAGCCCCAACTATCTACTGCTCCTGGCTGCCCTGCGTCATATGGCTACTTCCACCCCCTACTCTATAAAGTACTTATAAGAGAATGATGTGTAAAGGTCCAAGACATCACAGCAGCAAAATAAAAGAAGGGAGAGGCTGTCTCCTTTGCCATACACACAAGCCCTCTTTTCTCCCCACATTGCAGCTGGGTAGCATCATCTGTGGTTTGGACTTGTGGTTGCACAGAAGGTCCCCTCTGCCCTTGTCTGGTCAGTTTTGCAAGGCTTTATTTGATGCACTAAAGGAAGACTCCCACATCTGGAGTGGTGGGTAATTTCAGACAAGCAGAGCCCACAAGAAAATTAGATAATAAAATAATGGCACGAGGGGTTTTTAACAATTCAGGCAGACGAATTGTTAAAAACCCTGCATTGTAACTACAGTGGTACCTCGGGTTAAGTACTTAATTTGTTCCGGAGGTCCGTACTTAACCTGAAACTGTTCTTAACCTGAAGCACCACTTTAGCTAATGGGGCCTCCTGCTGCTGCCGCGCTGCCAGAGCACGATTTCTGTTCACATCCTGAAGCAAGGTTCTTAACCTGAAGCACTATTTCTGGGTTAGCAGAGTCTGTAACCTGAAGCGTATGTAACCTGAAAGTATGTAACCCGAGGTACCACTGTACATAAACTTGCTGGTATTAAAGGCTGCCAAGATATTAAACTGCAGCAGCGCAAACATAATGCCGACATTGTGAATTCTCTAGCACACTCAGCTAAACCCCAACCTTTGTCTCCACATCTCTTCTCATTCGACCCTATCAGTTTATGTACGCAGCCAGTTCTCAGTTCAGCAGGCTGAAACTTCAGCTCAGAATGGTCTGTCAATAAAACCAGACTCGTTTATATGCTGTCCACGCCTGCCGTCTCTCTCCCAAATATAAATGACATGGTTTAAAAAAATAAAAAATCGAGATCATCATCCAAGTTTATTTCCCCCCCTAGAATCCTTAGCATGCTACAATACCCCAACAAATGTTAATCATGAGCTCATTTCTCACAAGACATTTTCATGCAACTCACAGCTGTATTTGACTTTCCATTGACATTATACAGGTTTCTATATAGCCGTGTGAATCGTGTTTAAGGTGTCTCCAAAAAGTGTGCACGCTTCCATTGCACGGGAGCGGCAGACTCTTGGCCAGTCTTTCATGACTCTTGGTTTTAAAACCAGGATGATTGTTGTCATAAAGTCAACAAGGTCCTTCTTAAGTCCATTTGCCAATGAATTATTTGCTTTTGATATCTTATGTCCTGAGGAGTCCTCTTCTCAAACACTGCATTCAAGTACAATATCAACATTCCCAACTGTCTGCAAGGCAAGACTTATTTGCTCCACTCTAAAATGTTCTGCAATCCCTGGTTCCTCACGTCTATGCTTAAAATTAATCTTTCCCCCCCTTTTTTCTGCAATAAACATTCAGCACTAAAGCCATGAAGTGGTAGCTATTTGGCATTTTCCAGTGAAGTGCAAGAAATAAAATAAGTTATGTCTTTATTGCTAAAGGATAGTAACAAGCAAAATCACTTTTTTTATATAATACAGTAACAAGAGCCGTCATTCCTTCCTCTTGACACCCAGTAGTTCTGCCACATTGCTAAATATCATTGTAAATTGTCGTTCTAAGAGGATGTGTTTAGTATTCTAGAGTCTGAGGAGTCTGATCTTTCATCATAGTCGTCTTCTGTATAAATAGGCTGCTTGGAGACAATTGGGCATCCATCGTCAGGGATGGAGATCCTGGGATCTTCTGACGGCCGCGTAGGAAGCACTGGAGAACTTCGGAAGACACTGGTGGTATTGGTGGAGAAAGGGCTGACATACTGAGACCTCAGCTGGTACTGCTGCTGCAGCGTCATGGTGTTCCACAAAGTGACATCGTTGGGCAGAAACGGGCTGGATTGGTTTCTTGCCAAAGTATTCCTCAGCATCAGCGGGTACCGAGGTGGCTGTGGGAATGGGTGCTGTAAGGGGACAGCCAACGGATTGGGCACAACATTACTAGCGTCAGCAGAAAACCTCAGTGTGTCTGGAACTCTGAAGGCAGACCCTACAGACCACTTGGAGGAAGAGATGGGATAGGAACCCAACGTGTGTTCAAAGAGGTGTCCATTTGAAGGCAAAACCAGGCCTTCTGACTCTGCAGAAGTTCGGTCCCCCCCAGCTATGGAGGACCTGCTCGAGAGAAGAACCTCAACCGCACTCACCAGGTCACCCCCACAGCCCTTCAAGATTAATTCAAGCACAGTTGGCTTTTGGTTGGGAAATATCTTTTTTAACACCTCAAGGGGTGGCCGGTTGGCTTTCAAGCCAAAAGGCAGAGAAACTGTCCCTGACGGACCTTCGATCAGGAGGTGGTTTGGCTCTGGCTGGTATTTGGGGCTCTGAGGCCTGCTGTCGGTGCTGCCGCTGTTTTTCTGGATGGCGTAGCCTCCTTCATCCACGGACACAATCTCTGGGCTCTCTGGAGCGAAACCGCCCTTGGCTTTTGTCAAGTCTGGGGTGCTCCTTTGGTCGGCGTCTTTGTCACTGTAGGTCTCGGCACTGTCCACTCCACTGGCATCCCCCAGTCGGTCTTCAGTCATGTCTGTAAAACAGAGGGCAGATTTGTTATGCCAGGAACAGCTCTTAAAAGGAAGGGGAAGTTCCAGTAAGTATTAAAGGAGGCGCTTGATAATAAAGTCAGACTGCCGGTTCATCGACTCTGGGTCCTTCCCCATATCTGCTACCTTGAGCACAGCAAATCAGAGATGGACCATTTTATAGTTCAAATTGGGGAAAATAAATACAGTAAATCAACAAATGTACAAAGATTCACAAAATGTTTAGGGGTATGCGTACCCTCAGGGAAAAAAGCACTGGAGATGGACATAACAAAGTTATTCTGTCTGTCTCTGTGTCTCCCTATAACAATTATTGCAGATTATGCAGAATTAGCAAAACTGACCTGCAGAATCTGAAATCAGGAGGAAGCAAAATTCCAAAAAGCTTGGAGTAAATTTATGGAGTACATAAATAATAACTGTAGGAATTTGAAGACTCTGGCAGGACTGAAATAAATCTTACGATGTAGATAGGATTGGATACAATAAGAAACTGTGGAAAAGTAACTGACATAAGAAAACCTGTAGAAGGGAAGGAAGTCAATGCTCAGCAGAGTGTGGGGAAAGAATATGAGTAAATGAGAGTTGAATTATACTGTATTTTGTTTGTTTGTTTGTATTAAATGAAACAGCAATAAAAAGCATTTTTTTAAAAAACAATTATTGCAGACCAAAACCCCTCGCACTATGACAGTGCCCTTTCATAGAATAAAAGGGCTGAGATGTACCCAACTGCAAGACTGATTTGCTGCTCAAGATAACGTCAGAATGAAGTACCCCCTGTCAGCCGCACTGGAAGAGAAATTTGAAAAATCAGGCCACTGATCAGGAGTCTAAGAATAAGGAAAACCTTCATGCCATCAGTCTCAGTTTTAAACTGTTGTATATCTTAACCTCACCACAGTTAACCATCTCTTTGACTCTGTTTTCTGCTCCGTTCAGCTTCACCCATATATTTGCGGTAAAAAGGTAAAGGGACCCCTGACCGTTAGGTCCAGTAATGGCCGACTCTGGGGTTGCGGCGCTCATCTCGCTTTATTGGCCAAGGGAGCCAGCATACAGCTTCCGGGTCATGTGGCCAGCATGACTAAGCTGCTTATGGTGAACCAGAGCAGCGCATGGAAACGCCGTTTACCTTCCCACTGGAGTGGTACCTATTTATCTACTTGCACTGTGTGCTTTCGAACTGCGAGGTTGGCAGGAGATAATTGTGGTACATGGCAAAAAAAGCCACACCCACAATATAGGGAGGGAGGACACAGCTTCTGCCCCTCCCAAGCAGTGCAGAAAAGGATATTGCAGCCGCCTGCACTCTAAGTGAAACCTGCTGAAATCCCCCATCTTGTTGTTGGCATTCATCTGTCTCAAGAGACAATAGAGTGCACTTCCAAGGGTGAAGTTAGCAGCTGTGTTAGCAACACTGAAGTGACCTCCCCGGGGTGCAAGCCTGGGCAATGTGCATGGAGGTTCTGGGCTGCCCAGACAACAAGACCCGCTCCCTCAGCCTCACTGATGGGGTCCAAAGGAAAGCAGAGCAAGATGATGATGATGATGATGATGATGATGATTAATATCCTGCCCTCCCCAGCCGAAGCCAGGTTCAGAGTGGCCAACAACAATAAAAGCAACACAGTTCACATAAAATCACAATCAATCAATTGAAATGCATTCTAAAATCAATTCAAAATCAAATTAATGGCAACCATTGGGCTAGAGTTCTGTGAGGATTACCAAAGGAGGGGGTCAGACTGTGCCTTGGCCAAAGGCCTGGTGGAACAGCTCTGTCTTGCAGGCCCTGCAGAAAGATGTCAAGTCCTGCAGGGCCCTAGTCTCTTGTGACAGAGCGTTCCACCAGATCGGGGCCACAGCCAAAAAAGCCCTGGCTCTGGTTGAGCCAGACTAACCTCCCCAGCTTGGCTGCAGGAGTTGTTGGAAGGAGGCATACAAGGCGCCGTCCGAATATCTTAGGGACTCCACTTGGGATTTGTGTTGGGCTTACTCCTTTTCTTCTCCTGAAGATGTCCCACAAGGTAGCAGAGGTTTAGGACCAGAGTTTTCCTTCTCCTAGATGGCCTCCCTTCCCAGGTGGACGAGCCCCATCTGCCCCTCACTTCCCTCTACAGCAGCCTTTCTCAACCCATGGGTCTCCAGATGTTGTTGCACTACAACTCCCATTACCCCTAGCTAGCAAGGCCAGAGCTCAGGGATGATGGGAGTTGTAGTCCAACAACATCTGGGGACTCACAGGTTGAGAACTACTGCTCTACAGCATGTGCAGAAACCGCCTTCTTGACCCTTGGACCCATTCTTGGTCTCGTCCACTCAAACAGCCAAAGTCTGTCTTTGCATGCAAGTGAAACCCCTAGCTCACCTGGTTTAGCTAACTCACCTGCACACAGCTCTTAGAGATGCATCAGTCCTTCTCTCTCTCTCTCTCTCTCTCTCTCTCTCTCTCTCTCTCTCTCTCTCTCTCTCTTTTCTCTTCTGCATCTGACCAGCCTCAATATGGTGACTACATAAGTTACTACTGTATGCTAATCCTGTCCTTTTCATTTATTTGATATCTTTATAGAGCTCAACAAGCCACACCTTTCCATGACAAAAACCACAGATGTGCAGAATGAGCTTGACAAAGGGGATGTTCTATTTGTGTCCTCTCCAACTTTCCTTCATTTAGGCAAATTCCATGGAGCTCATATCTCGATGCAATACTCTGTTTAAATAACCAAGCAGCAGCAGCAAAGAACCTGTGGGCACTCATGCCTTATGTTCTAACACATTGAACTCTATACCCCAGCACAAAAATGTTTATTTCCAAGTTTGTAAAATATGTACTCTTATTTAAGCTCATGTACCCTGGGACTACAAGGGACGTGGGTGGCACTGTGGGTTAAACCACAGAGCCTAGGGCTTGCCGATCAGAAGGTCAGCGGATCGAATCCCCATGACAGGGTGAGCTCCCATTGTTCGGTCCCTGCTCCTGCCAACCTAGCAGTTCGAAAGCACATCAAAGTGCAAGTAGATAAATAGGTACCACTCTGGTGGCAAGGTAAACGGCGTTTCCGTGCGCTGCTCTGGTTTGCCAGAAGCGGCTTAGTCCTGCTGGCCACATGACCTGGAAGCTGTACGCCGGCTCCCTTGGCCAATAAAGCAAGATGAGCACTGCAACCCCAGAGTTGGCCACGACTGGTCTTAACGGTCAGGGGTCCTTTTAACTGAAGTCTTATAAATAAGTAAGTATATAAATAATTTTCACAAAAGTTATCCTGACAAATAATTTTATTTCAAGGCTTGAACTGTATCTGCATATAAAGACAAAATGGAAAATATAGATAAATATGCTAACCGAGGCCCCCTTTGGAATCGGAGGCCTGGGCCAAGTGGCCCATATGCCCCCCACCCCCCTGTCTGGGCCTGCCTTTCCATGACAAAAACCACAGACGTGCAGAATGAGCTTAACAAAGGGGATGTTCTCTTTTTCTCCTCTCCAACTTTCCTTCATTTAGGCAAATTCCGTGGAGCTCATATCTCGATGCAATACTCTATTTAAATAACCAAGCATAAGCAGCAAAGAACCTGTGAACACTCATGCCTTATGTTCTAACACATTGAACTCTATACCTACCCCAGCACAAAAATGTTTATTTCCAAGTTTGTAAAATATGTACTCTTATTTAAGCTCATGTACCCTGGGACTCTCCCAACCACCAAATTTCTGGGGGCTGGAGGGTGAAGACTCATAAAACTATGAATCACAAAGGTGAATCATTATTAGGTCTGGAACATTTTCAGTGTGGTTTGAAAGAAATGCTTTATGTTAAAAATTCTGCTAATATTTTGGCTGTCCTTGAAATTACACATCCAGGGCCTTGATATTGAGTAGGGCTACAAGGCGTGATTAGGGATGCGGGTGGCGCTGTGGGTTAAATCACAGAGCCTAGGACTTGCCGATCAGAAGGTCAGCGGTTCGAATCCCTGCGATGGGATGAGCTCCCGTTGCTCGGTCCCTGCTCCTGCCAACCTAGCAGTTTGAAAGCATGACAAAGTGCAAGTAGATAAATAGGTACCGCTCTGGCAGGAAGGTAAATGGCGTTTCCGTGCGCTGCTCTGGTTCGCCAGAAGCGGCTTAGTCATGTTGGCCACATCACCCAGAAGCTGTACACCTGTTCCCTCGGCCAATAAAACAAGATGAGCGCCGCAACCCCAGAGTCGGTCACGACTGGACCTAATGGTTAGGGGTCCCTTTACCTTTACCTTTTACAAGGCCTGATTAGAACCATTTGCTGCACCTGTGCAGGTCAATGCAGTGTGTGTGTGTGTGTGTGTGTGTGTGTGAGAGAGAGAGAGAGAGACAGAGAGAGAGAGAGAGAGAGAGAGAGAGAGTCTTATGTACCAGAAATAGTTTTGATAAGATTAGTTAAGGTTACAACAAATTTTACAAGGTTGGTAAAATAACAGTTTTTATTAGAGCCAGTTAGTATTCAGAATGCACTCTGCAAGTTTCCATGTTGCATAAAAAACTTTCATACATGGGTCATTCATTGAAAAATATCTGTAAAAGAAACAATAGATGTTTCTGAAAGAGAGTGTGTATTCCACACTTCCGTACATCCTGTGTGTAAATCGGAACAAGGGACAATCCACAGAAAACTTGATTGCCATTTGTTCCAACTTAGCGCAGGGCAAATGCAAAACCACTCAGACACACGCCTAGAAAACAAGGGGCATTTTTGCCATTCTTTATAGGGAAATCAGGGAAGTTCTTACAGGTCAAGTTGGGAACTTACATAGTGACTGAAAGAATGCCTATATGATTCTATTCTGTCTTATACCTGATAAATCTATACACCTTAACTCTCTGGATAGTAGTTCTAGCTGAAGGACTTAATGTTTAGTTATGATTTATTGCTCCGTTATTCATTTTTATGTTGCCCTGCATATATCAAACTGTATCCTAGTTAATTCTTCATTGAAACTAGAAGTCATCCAGAGTATAAGTTGAAACCTAACCAAGCTGATTAAAATATATTTTGTTTTTTATGAAATGAAACTGCTTTGCACCCGGGATTCCACACAGTTTTGCATTTTCTAAAACTGAACACTTGAGAAATAGCAAGTTTGTTATTGGACTTGAGGCAGGTTCGGAGTCAAGTCCTCAAGCAGTTTCCTCAAAAGTAGTGGAGCATCTCCTTTAGCTAAAATAATGTTAATAATAACTTGGACAGATTAGACCCTAGCAAAAAAATGTTGTGCAAACAGTGTTATTTATGAGCAACAGAAAGAGCAAAGGCATCTACTGATTTCCACTATCACTTTTTATTTTAAAACATTGCACTTGATCGCTTTGGTTCTTTTAACATTTTACGCAGGTCAGCCTCAAATTGTTGTTTCTCATTGAGGTGACAGTTCTTTGACACTGTGCATACCCCTGGATCTGCCAAGGAAGCACAAATGATTTCTGGCTGAATAAATAGCTGAATTTATCCCAAATGAATTTATTCATTTGTTTGTATTGGCTGTCGGTTTCCTGGTAAACAATTTGCAGCCCTCATTGTTGCTTTCCACCGTTCAGGGGTTCACCTTCTATGCAGCTTCCTATTGTAGTTTAGAATGTGGATATATTCACACTCACCCACAAAACAGCCTTTGCAGATTTGACGCCACGTGCCAAAGTCGCGTAATACTTTGATGGTTCTGAATCTGTGTGTCCTCAGAGAGGCAAACCTCCAGAGCTGCCCCTCTTTTCAAGAAGCAACAGTCTAGTTGGAAGGAGTTCTCCAGGACATTTGATGGATAAAGATTTCCCCCTCCCCTCACCTCAAAGCCGTTAAGCAGAAAGTGCTGACTAGCTGGCAGGGAAGAATTTCTCATCAATGCTCTTTGATTGTATTTTGCAAACAAAATGCCTGCTGCCTGGTAACATTTCACTTGAGCCTGACCTTCCCCAAAAGTTATTGCTATCAGATTCGATTTACACTGTCCTCCCATGATTACTGTAATCTTTTAAACTGGGGAGTTCATTTATCAGGGAGGCAGGGAGTGTGAGTCAATCGTGCTTCTATTCATCAGATTTATAAGCTTCTTGCAGCTCAGAGGAGCTTCTGTTCTCAGGCCACGTCCCTCCCCAAAACAGCTGGATATGCCAAACCGCCTCTGGACTTCAGCAGTACTTTTTCCTGTTGGAATGTTCAGGGAGGCAGGAGAGGATATATTGTTTATTGATATCCTTCCTAACTTGTGCTAGCAAGTTCCTTTACTGAGCAGAGTTTACATTCCCCTTTTTAATTGCACAGCAGGTAGCTGGTTGCAGGCTCTCACTATCATACAATTCAGTACAGTAATACCTCGGGATAAATGTGCTTCAAGTTAAGTATTTTCGGGTTGCGCTCGCAGTGACCCAGAAGTAACGGAGCACATTACTTCCGGGTTTCACCACACGCACATGCGCAGGCGGTCAAAATGAAGTCACCACATGTGTGGAAGCGGCGAAACGCAACATGCACATGCACAGGCGCAGGTTGCGTTCGCTTCAGGATGCGAACGGGGCTCCGGAACGGATTCCGTTCGCATCCCGAGGTACCACTGTATTGAATTGTATGTTCCTGGTAAGTTCCCTTTCATCCCTCTTAAAAGAATAAACACACCACAATCTTGTATAAAGTATATAAAAGTAGTTTACTTACATTCTGTTCACAGTTGGATCCCAGAAGGCAGACTTAGTTACAACGTATATACATGTGGATCCTATCCCAGGCTTCCTCAAGCTCGGCCCTCCATATGTTTTTGGCCTACAACTCCCATGATCCCTAGCTAGCAGGACCAATGGTCAGGGATGATGGAAATTGTAGTCTCAAAACATCTGGAAGGCTGAGGTTAAGGAAGCCTGATCTATACCATATGAGGGTAATCCCAGGGTCCTGGGATTTTTCGCATATCTAGCTACAAAGCTGCTCCAACAACAGAGGAAGTCAAAAAGGGAGAGAGTGCAGCATGCCCTGTACTTTTGTTACCTGAACAGGTAAAGTCATGCCCACCTCTAAAAGGTAAAGGGACCCTTGACCATTAGGTCCTGTCATGGTCGACTCTGAGGTTGCGATGCTCATCTCGCTTTATTGGCCAAGGGAGCCGGCGTACAGCTTCCGGGTCATGTGGCCAGCATGACTAAGTCGCTTCTGGCGAACCAGAGCAGCGCACAGAAATGTCACTTACCTTCCCGCTGGAGTGGTACCTATTTATCTACTTGCACTTCATGCTTTTGAACTGCTAGTTTGGCAGGAGCAGGGACCGAGCAACGGGAGCTCACCCCGTCGTGGGGATTCAAACCGCTGACCTTCTGATCGGCAAGCCCTAGGCTCTGTGGTTTAACCCACAGCGCCACCCGCGTCTAGTCACATGCAAAAGAAGTATGTCCCAGCCAGGAGGAAACAGGAAGTTTTTGACTGGCTGGACCAAACTTTCCCCTGCATGTCCACTCTAGGAAAACAAGGAATGTGGTACTTGACTGCTACTTAGGTATCACATCCCACGTTTCCAAAGTGAAGGAGGGGCCAATGAAGCCCTCCAAGGTTGTGTTGCCTGGAACGCAGGACACAAATCTCAGAGGATGCTTAGGGACTCACGAACGCAGGGCTGGGGACCTGTGGCCCTGCACAGGCAGGTGGACCACCTTCCATCAGTCCCAGACAGCATGGCCAATGGCCAAGGATTATGGGAGTTATAGCAAAGGTGGAAGGGAGCACGGCCGGTTTGGTTGCACCGGGTGCAAGGCTTCTGGGGTGCTGCAGAAGACGAGAGGCGGGGGTGCCGGATTTTGGTGCTGCACATGGCGCCACTGGCATTTGAGATGCCAAGGTCCGCCACTGGTTATAGTTCCACACTGAGGGGTAGTGGGGCAGGCAGGCAGGAACAAAACACTGCCACTTTTTCTACAACATGCTGTCATCTCATGGGACACTAGTTGCCAGTCCTCTGCCCTGCAAATAAACAAACTTTTCTCTGGGAGAAACCCACCAAATCACTTAAGCAGAAGAAGAGGAAGGTTACATTAGAACAGGGATTAAAGTGCTACTTTTATTTGGAAAAATCCCCAAGTCGTTTTACCACGACCAACCAAATTGTCAACTGATTTTGTTGGGGACTAAAAAAAGAAAGAAAAATGACTAAGGTTTTCTTTCAGCTGCAGAGTTTATAATGATAACTCATCGAAGCAATTCTATTTTTTTCCCAGAGACAGATGCTATCCATACTGTTTAAGTAAGATACTGTTTAAGTAAGTTAAGGGACCAGCTTTCATTTAAGCAGATGTCGGCATTACATGTTATGAATTCTGCCTTGCGATCTGTTGGAGGAAGATGGTAGTCATTGCTTCTTTAGCCCAGAATCCTGAATGTGTAACCTGTTATCTGTAGTACCTGTGGGCGGGGGGGGGGAGCACTTGCTCAGATATCCTTAAATTTCCAGGAGGGAAAAAAGAGATTTATTCAGCCTTCAATCGGCCCATAAGGCAAATGAGTCCAGAAGCTGACTTCATGGCTGCAACATCTGCTTAATTTTTGTACACATACACTCCTCCTGACTCCCTGCTTTGTGTTAACATCTTGTCCGATGAAGATTTCTGAAGAATTTGAAAGCTTGCTACACTTTTATGATATTTTGGTTGGTTCGAATGAAGGAATTGCCCAGCTGTTGATTTCACAGGCCTTCAGTTTCAAGGAACTTACGCAGGACAAAATTGGCTTAATTGTAAAACAAAAAAATTGTCCAAGAATAATTCTAATTACAGCACTGACACTTTTTTTGTAAAAACAAGGCACTGAACACAACGTCACTTGCAAGAGCACAACTTTCTTCTGAATTTCGCTCCTTCTCTTTAAGCCCACAGAACAAGGGATGCTGCAGGTGATGTTTTGTTATATAAACCAAACCATGGTAACAGAAAGCCTCTACTACTCCACAATAAAGGATTTATTACATTGTTTAAAATCTTTAGATGGATGCTCAGGACAAGAATATAACAAATATAAAACCCCAGAACACGTAAAAATCTTTTAAGAATTATATTTCCATTCATTCACGCTGGGAAAAATAGGAAAAAAACAGTAAACACATATCTGCAGAAGGATGCAAGCAATCTCTGGAATCCTTCTCCCTCTTCTAAGACTTTTGGATTGAATTTAAATGTTTAAACATACCTCTCCCTTTTCAGGGAGAGCCACTGCATTGACACGTCTGTGCAAGCACAAATCAACCCCCTTCAATTAAACTGTTCCTTTCTTCTTCTGTTTTATTAAATTTTTATTTAAAGTCAGCAGCAAAATATTGGAGGGGTGGGGGAGAACTGTGGTTCCCTTCGCAGAAAGAAGGGAATTAATGGATCATGGGCCCTAAAATACTCAGCGGAGGACTTAGAGGCAGGAACTGCTAACAGAGAAGATAATCTTTAAAACAGCCATGTGTCTGACTTATGTACGTGTAGATTCGTACTCCAGAACTTTGCACGCATCGTTTAGAATCGGATTGAGGAAGCAGCAGGAATCGCGCCAAGGCGAAATTTGCAGATAGCAAGTTTCCTTTCTATCTACACGTCTCGCTATTTCATTCTCCCCACACCTTAGCGGCTTGTCGGCTATGTTGTTGACAATTGACAATTTGACAACTGACAATTTCTCAGTGGGAAATCCCATTTAAATCAAGAGGTCTTCGTCCCAAGCAAACTGGGACCGGATAATTGCAGCCTTATGGAGAGCAATCCTAAACATGTTAAGCGGGAGTGAACCCCATTGATCTTACAAAGCAACCCTCTACATTTTTACTCAGAAGTAAGCCCTATCGATCAGACTTTCTCCTAGAACTGCAGCCTTACTCCGCAGGGCGAGTGCTTAGAATTGCAGCCTCGCTTTGCTTACTGAAAACTTAAAGGCTGCGAACCTGCTAAGCACATTTACTCGGGAAGGGGAGAAAGAGTCGAGAATGAAACCCCCAAGAGCACTCTTAACGCTTTCCCCCTAAAGTCCTACTGAAGGTAAAGGTAAAGGGACCCCTGACCATTAGGTCCAGTCGTGACCGACTCTGTCCTACTAGCTGCCGTCAAAATGCTTGCAGATTCGGAGGCAAAACTGGAGAAGGAAAAGCTCAGTCCGTAGGTAGACCATTTGACTCTTAATATCAGGGCCGGATTTAGGTTTGGTGAGGCCCTAAGCTACTGAAGGGAATGGGGCCCTTTCTATGTCCAGCTGCCCTTTGTCAACAGCAAATTGTGGCTGTTTTTTGTGTTGAATATATGCTATATGGTAATTTATGAACCTAAAAGGTATCTAAAGCCATTTGCACATAACAAAATATGTACCGGTATTTTATCAAAGTTTTTGATCCAGTACATCCAGGTGTTTCTTTCCTTTGCATTTTTTGGGGGCCCCCAAGAGAGTGGGGCCCTAAGCTATAGCTTGTTTAACTTATACGCAAATCCGGCACTGCTTAATATTGATGAGATTTTTATAGAAACTAGGAGAGGAGATATATATATTTAGGTACTGTATTATCATTCCTTCCTCACCTTTGTAAATTCAGCAGAACGTATCCCTTTGCATCTTAGAATGAGGAAGCTTAGATAGGCCAGTTTTAGCCTGTTGGTTTAAGTAATCCAGGATTCTTTTAAGGCAGACTGGATTCCCCTGCTATTTCCCATTTTCTTAAAACAATAACCACGCAAACAGTCTTGCAAAAGGTAAAAATAGCATTTACTCACTCGGAATACTTGTTGAAGAGTAACAGGTAAAGCAGCTTTGTTCAGGCAAGCTTAAAATGGTAACCAGGTTACAAAGACATACTTTAGTCTGGTTTAAAATGGTGTCTGAGCAGTGCAGCTCGGACATCCAGATGTTCTACATTGCTGAGATGAAGTTGAAAGGGCAAAGGGCAGAGAAGAAGTGCCCAGCCAGGTGAGGAGATTATAGGAATGGATACGCCTTCCCCTAACAGGGCACTGTGGGAGCGTCTCTCAGAGGGAATTTACAAGACTCTGAGCTTCAGTTCCTCTCCTGCGCCTATGTAGCAAACATGCATCGTTGGTTTGACTGCATTGTAAAAATCCCACAAATCTTAGGGTCGTGGGTTCGAGCCCATTGGGTAAAAAGTTCCCTGCATTTTAGGGGGTTGGACTAGATTACCCTCGGGTTCCCTTCCAACTCTACAATTCTATTATTTTTATGCCAATTATTTTTATTGATTTTCCATAATTTTTAACCAATTGTCACCAGGCTATTACAAATTAATAGAATTATTCTAAAGCATCACACAAACCTTTAAATTCATGCTTATTGAGTAGCGCGCATTTCCAAAAGTGGGGCTGGAATCAAGTGGGAATATTTATTCTGGATCCGTAGGGAATGGTATACTATTCATTCCAAAGAACCCTGTGGAACTGGAGTGTGGAACGCGATGCGCTGGGCACGCCAGGCTGCAATCCTATCCAGAAAACAACATTCATTCGGATTTTCGGAAATTAAAAATAAATAAATCCCCAACTTCTTCCCAGTGCATCGCGTATAAAAGTGAAAACCGAAGAGGACTAAGTCGCGCGCCCTTCCTCCCCCAAAAACCCAACAGTCGAGGTTTCGCCGTGTGTTGCAATATTTTCTTTGGTCCCGAAATATCTAAATGCTTCGGAGACGCGGCGGCCTACATTAATTCTCCCCACCTCAGCCCCGAATAATAAGGAGCCTGGGCACCAGCTTCCCCTTCGCCTGCTTCGCCCTTCCTAATCTAAGCGCCTTTACGCAGCGCCGCAGTCCAGGCCCCCTCGGAGCAAGGTCGACGGCTCCAGGGTTGTATTCGAGTTCTGAAACCTCTCCCTCTCTTACGCACAGAAGCAGCCTCGTCTAAGACGACCCGGTGTTTGTATGGGGTGGAGAGGGCACGCCACACTGTTCTTTATATTGTATGTATCCCATCCCAGCCACGCTTTCCAGAGGCCGAAATGCGCGCAGGTATCCAAGGTCCGGGCGGAAAGTCTTCGAGGAAGGGGTCGAGCTGGGAGACCTTCCCGCTGTGTCCGCAGCCCCTTCCGCGCTCCTTCGAGGAAAGGGGTTTGTTCCCAAGGGGCTGGTGCGCTGGATAGTCAAACGCATCTGCAAGTCTCTCCTTTCGGAGAAAGAGTCGCCGCCAGGTTTAATGGGAGAAGGAAAATTCCCAAAAGGTTTCCTGACACAATCCGCCACGAAAGGGTCACGGCAGTTGTACAAAAACCAGCATTCCGTGTGCTAACTCCGCACACGCACTCAACAACGTCTAACCTTGAGAAGGAACGCGACGCAGCGTACTCCTGAACTGTAACCTCGCTTCATTTTGAAAGAGTCTTGGAAAGCGAGGAACGTCTGAGTTTAAGGTCGCCAGGCCTAAGAGGAGGCAGGGAGGCCCCGAGATCCGCCACCTCGAAGCCAGTTCCGGGGATCGAGGTATACTGTAAGTTGACTTAAACGAGGAACATCCAAAGCGCAGGGCAAGATCCGGCGGCGCGCCTCAGACCTTTGCTTCCAAGTGCAACGGAACTCCGGAGAAGTCCATTGTCTTCAGGGGGTCTTCTCTGAGCAAGACTGGTGTTAGATGCCACCCACAGATCTTCATGCGAAATCTGCAGGGTTCTATTTTAAATCCCCGCACCTGGAGCTCAGAGCCACTGCGCATCCTGTTCCTCTGCATGTTTACTCGGAAGTCAGACCCACCAAGTTTAATAGGCCTCTCCCGAGTAGAGGATACTGTTGATACAATTTTTGTTTTTTCCACTTCCTACCCCTTATCACATAAAAAATAAACGCACATTGGCGGCCTCCTAATTGTTTGATGAGCTAAGAGAGGGAAGAGTTTAATTACCTATTTTAGGGGGGGAACAAAACTAAATTGACAGTTTTACAACAATTCCAGTCGCCCCAGAATGCAGCAGGTATGATAGCCAGCAGAACAAGGGGCTGAGCGCATACAAAGCCTATTTCAGAAGCGCTCCCGTCGTTTGTCAACCCTTCCTGACGCTCTTCGGAACTAATTATGCTCTCCAAGCCTTAAACGTTTGGTCTAGATGCCCAAGAGGGCCTTTTTCGTGCCGGCACCTCAAGAGTAGGACTCCTTGCTACGGGAGAGACTCGCTGTTCCCACTGTCGAGGGAAGACGATTCTGCTTAAGCGAGCTTTTTATTAGCCTTGTTTTGTAATCCGGACTCTGCGAAGTTTTAAATGTTTGGTTATTTAAAAGAATTGTAATTGTTTTGTTATGACTGTTGCATTGGTTAGTGGGGGGTGATAGTAAGCTGTTAGCTGCCCTGGAAATGCATCAGATAGTGTTATTTAAAGAAATAAAGATTAGGAGGGTTAAACGTTTAATTTATAATTATGAAGGTGGTTGAGAGTTTGGAGACAGAGGACATCACCAAGAAGGAAACTGTCTACAACGAATATACTCCGGGGTTTATACACTCTCTCCCCCGCCTTGTTTCCCCGCCTCCTCTTTCATTTTCCAATTAAGCAGCAAAGGTTATTTCTACTAAGTCCCCTGCAAGCTAGCAGAGTACTTTGAAACCTGAGAAAAGTCGCGAGAGGGGCCTTGATCTTGCGGGGAGCCGGCTCTCTCCACACACCCGCGCGCGAACAGCAAAATCACATTTGCCAAAAGGAAAACAGGGCGATAGTCGTTTCCTGATGGAACTGGTGGGACCAGGGCGGCTTGTGAGTCTCTCTGAATTTCCTAGAATGGGCCGCAGAGGTGATGGCGCAGGTTCCGCGCAGAAACAGCTGCCGAGATGGCAGATAAACCCCATAAATCCTCTCCCAGGGAGCTGTGAGGTCCTGAGGGGATTTTCCCTGCTACCCTTATTAGCTCGTTACAGCCTTTATTGCAGCGCCGCAGGACTGCTGCAACCGAATCAGCCAGACCCTGAGCGCCGACGGGTCTCCAATTTCACCAGGATGTTGTATATTTTTAGGACTCTCTATTCGTCGCAGTCTCCTCGCCGATTTGACACAGGTCGGGGACTTGTGGCCTGAATCTTTCCTGTTTCCACCAAGTTTCTGCAGCAGTAATATCTGGCGGTGAGTAAAAGCCTAATCGGGCTGCATAAACAGGACAGACACACATTTTGATTCTAAGCGCACACCTGGCTCCCCAGGTCTTTGCATTATCTGCAACAAAGCTTGCCCTGCGATCCTATGCATGCTTACCAGGGAGAAAGGCCTACTCACCAAGTAAATGTGGATAGGATTGGGCAGTAAGTCCCTGCTGCTTACAGTCCGAGCCTTGGTGCAGTTAGGCGCGCTGAATCTGCGCAACACTGAGCTTCCCAGCGGCTGCACAGGCTCAGGGACGCCACGACGCCGGCTTAAGTACAGTGCAATCCTGAATACGACTACTCAGAAAGCTCGACGGACCTTCGAAGAGGGCAAGGCGAGGTCCCAGGGGCCTTTCTTACTCAGGATCCGTTTTAAGGGCCGAACCTGCTTACATTACATGGGCTCTTCTTCTTCCAGAGCACAGCAGCTCAGGTCACTACAGCCAAACAAGATAACCGTCCGTTTCTCGCGCTAAAAATAATGGCTTCGAACGATCACTAACCCGCATTTCACAGCTCAGTGTCTCTGGTTACGGTCTTTGATATTTCCCCCACTTCTTCCAACTATTAAATTCCCTGGATCGACAGGAATGTAAATTGCAGTCTCCTTCTGTCCACCCCAAAACAGCATCTCCTCGCCGGTCGTTTCCGACTAGCTAAGTGATGCGGTCCGCCTGTTTTTCCAAAGCCAAGCCATGGAGTCCCTACTTTTGAAAAGTGTGATATTTCTATGGTAGTTTTTGTTACGTGACTCGCACCATGGCCCCCCCGGGTGGGTTATGCGGACTCGCCGGGGCTCACGGACCACCAATTGGGAATGACTGTTAAGCACTGGGAAGAAGCAGACTGGACCGAGAGGGGGTCGGGCTGGTTTTATTTTTTAAACGAACCCGCAAACAGCAGCTGCTTGGCCGCCGAGGACCAGCAAAGTTACGGATGGGCTCCCTGGGCTAGAAGGTCCCTATCCGTGGCTCAGTATCCCCTGGATCCTTGACTCCAGTCACCTTGGGGTAGGCCCCCCGGGATTCCGCTTCACAGGGCGAAGCGCGCAGAGCAAAGGGACCGTCAGCCTCTGGCAGTCAAGATCGCGACAGAATCAGCAGATCCCGCGAGTTGTTATTCGAAGCGGAGGCCCCACAGAGCTCACGAAGACTTACTCCCCAGTCGGCGAGTTTAGAGTTCACCCTGGACGGATAGGGACACCTCATCTGTACCGCGGATCTGTTACAAACCATACCGAGGTCTCTGAGAGACGTCGGGGGGGGGGATCGAAATATTCTGAAATATCAGGTTCTAAATGGCCGGAGGAAGCTGTCCCCGGGTCCTGGCGAGGCAGGTGAACGAGACCTGATCACACCTTTATTCACGGAGGAAGAATCGCTGTGGAGGCGCTGTCCGGCTCCTTCAGCGCCCCTCGACGGCAAGGGGGCTGAGGCGCCCTTACCTGGGAGTAAGCATCACTGGACCCAACAGCGCTTACTTCTGAGTAAACACGCGCAATGTTGTACTGCGTGGGGATATCGCTTCTTTCCTTAAGAAAAGCTCACAGACGGCCCTTCGGGGGTGGTTGTCTCTCAGCCTCCTCCTTGTTGTCCCGAAAAGAACTGGCGCCCTTGGGAAAGAGGAGCGTCCGCGGGTGCCGGCGAGGCAGAGACCGAGGCCGGGTCCCTTCCCCTCCTGTCCTCGGCCTCGCGCACAGCAGCTTTCCACCCCAAAATCCGGTCCCGGTTGGGAAGAGAAGGGCCTGCCCCGCCTCCGCCTGTCCTCACTGCGCGTCTTGGATGTATGACAGCAGGCAAGCACTCTTGGCAAGCTCAGAGTCTCCCTCGCTCCCCGGACAACGGGACACGCCGCCCTGCCCAGGAAAGCTGTCGGGGGACCAAAGGCGCCCCATCCCGGCGATTCTAGTTGCCTCCCAAGTAGGAGGCGGGAGAATATGCGTTTCCTCCCCAGCGCAGCACCCACTTCCCAATGGAGACCGTTCCCCCCGCCCCCGCTTTGCTCTTCCCCATTCCTTCCCGACGGCAGAAAAAAAAGGGCGCCGCACACCAGAAAGAAACCTCGCCACTCCCCACCCCCCGCGAAGTTTTCCACGGCCCGGGGAAAGTTGTGTCCCTGCGTGAGCCCACTTGGGCGCGCGGGAATCTCCCGATTAATTACAATACCCCTTTAGCCTTTGCCTAGGGATCGGGCCCCGACGCGTAGGCATACAGTTTAAGCCGGAGAGCGACTTGCAACTAAGTCTCCACTAGATTTCAACCGGATTTGTTTTTTATTTCAGCGAAGTTACGACGGCTGCCTACAGCTCCGTTTCGGAAAGAGCCTCCGTCCTCCCCACCGCGTCCCCACCGTCTACGTCTGCGGGAACTGCCTGCTTCCTTAGAGTAAATTCCGGGCCCCGCCGCCTCCCCAAGTTCCGGGGCTGAGATGTGGTTCGCCCCCGAAGCCGATGAACGCCTTATAATCCGTGGAGAAGTCAAAGCAGCCTAGTTGAAGCCCCTGCTGCTTGTGGGGCCCGATGCGCCACTGGTTGCCTCTGGGCGCCTTGCCCCCCCCGCCCCGCCCCCTGCACTCCCACATACCTGCTTTGGGCAGCTGCGGCGGCTGGACGGCGGTGGGCTGCTCCGAAGCCCAGCGGAGGGCTGCGGCGGCCAGCTCCATCGGCGGGCGATGCGGTGTGCCTGGGGGTCCCTCCGAGGGGGCGACGGCAGCTGCAGCGGCTCCTGCTCCGGGGTGTCCCGTGGTCGTGGTCCCAGCAGAGCCGGGCGCGGCGGCGGCGGCGGGCAGAGCGCGCAGGGCGTCGGGGATGAGGCTCTCAAGGCTCTCGTTGGCCTGCTGCCTGCGCAGCGCCACTTGCGCGGCCATGACGCGCTGCCGCTCGATGATGAGGATGCACTTTTCGCACGTGCAGTCCTTGAAGCGGCAGTAGCGCTTGTGGCCCTTCAGCCACGACAGCACGCCGTGGTTGCGGCAGCGCGCGCACTTGGGCGTCCGCTGCAGGGGCGCCCGCGCCGGAGGCGCCACCGGGCCGCCCATGTACAAGTAGGGCGAGCCGTAGCCGTTCATGGCGCGCTGACAGGGCCCAGGAGCGCGGGCACGGCGGCGGGAAGGCGGGCGTGTGCGCAAGCCAGGGAGCGCAGCCTCGACGGCAGTCCCGGGACAGCCACTACGGCCTCTGCCCGCCGCTCGCCCGCCGCATCCTCACGCACAAGGGTCTCGCCTGTGCGCGCCTTCGAGGCAGAGCTGGAGTACCGCTGGCAGACGGGCTCCGGGCTTGCCCGCCTCTTCCTCGACGCTCCTCCTCCTCCTCCGCGGCTGCGCTTCTTGCTCTCGTCGACCAGGCAACCACTCCGCCCCTTACAGCTCCTTCCCTCCGCAGGCGCAGAGATCAGCGGCGCCCCTCCTCCCTGTGAAGCCGCGGCGCCCCCTGCTCTGCCCTCCGGGAAGCGGCCCTTCCTTTCGAGGGAGACGGAGCGCGAGAGGTGGGAAGGGCGCGCGAGGGGCGCCGGTGCGTCCTGCAGAGCGCGGGAGGTTGCTGGGCGACGTTCAGGGCACCTTTTCTCTTCCACCGCCTGCGCGCAACAAGATCTGCTGAGTGGCTCAGCAGCAGCTAAGCGGAGCGGAGATTGCAGCTGCCCCGACGCCAGTTCTCTGTTTCTCGCTCCTTCACGCGCGAGCCAAGCACCAGACACAGCCCAAAAGGAGCTCCGCAATCCCACACAATCTCTGGATCCCGCTTTGACCGATGCGCTCTTGGCAGCGCGATCTGCCCGCAAGATTGCAGGCTGACGCGTCTGGCGCGCCCGTCTGTACCCAGAGGATCCCGGCTAGGAAATAAGCGGCGCCCCCCGGCAAGCCTCGCGCGGAGGAGTTGCTGGGAAGCGATTGGCTCCGTTCCGCCCCCTCCTCTCAAACTTTGAGGACTAGGGATTGGTTAGGAGCTGCCTAAAGCCGGAGGGCAGCTTCGAGGCTTAACCCTTTCCTCTGGGCCGTCTGTTTTTCACCAGCAACCGCCTTGCTACAAATGTCCAAGTGCCTATTGGGAGGGGGCCTTAGGCCCAGACCAGCCCCTCTGAGTGTTAGCCCCTCCATCGGAAAGAAAGCAGGAGAGGGATGCTTTCAATTGGCGCGATATTATCTGATGGGGGTTGGAAATAAGGAGTACATGGCAGGGAACAATGCTTTCCTGAGGAGGAGCGGGAGCCAACATCCCGGTGCAGGATTCTTGTATCTTACGCACTGCATCCTTAAACCAGCCACTCTGGCACAATCCTGCCGACTCCAGTCTGACCTGCAGGTTAAAAGAGCTTATTTTTAAATGTTCGCCGGACCAGCGCCCGTGTCTTTAACAAAATACCTCCTTTCCGAAATAAAATTTATTAACTCTCATTTTTTTAAAAAAAACCAGCAACTGCTTAATACGTAGTCAATTTCTCAAAACGCGCGGCTAGAAAGGCTGTGGGATTCTACAAAAATCTAAATACAGTGACCACGCGCACGTGACAAGCTTACAGAATTAATTCCGCAGGACCATATAACTTTGTATCGGATTTTTTAAAAATAAAATAAAATGCGCTATTATGGAAACGCTTGATTTGTTCAGGTAAATACACCAGTCGGTTTTCTTACCAAACGGAAGAGAAGAGCAAACGCTCCCGGTCTCTTTATCCTGTTTGTTGGCTGCCGGTTTGTTTGGTTTTGCTCCGCGTTTCGGCTGCCTGCGAATATCAGCCCTTGGTATTTAATCAGCGAATGGTTATGTTATTCTCTCCACCAAACGCCTCCAGAACAGAGTGGGAGCGTTAGAGTAGGGAGCTCCTTGTCCCTTAATTTCTAAGCGCCAACCCCGTTTTAGTTAAACTTTTATTTCGAAATGCCACCGTTAGGAAAGTTAACAAGGTCTCGTAAAGGCCGGCGCCGGGGGATCTATTTTGTGCAGGCCGTCCAAGCAGGAAACAAGGCAGGATCAGGCCCCTAGACCCACCTGGCCCGGGAACCTGTTCTCAACGTGGCCAAACAGGTGCCCGCGGCCTGGTTGAGCGAGAAGGTGATGACTTAAAATCCCACGGAACGGGGAGACGCATGAAAGGAGATCAATTTAAGTTCAATAACTCAAAAATAACGCCTGCAAATACGTCGATAAGTGGCTTGAGGAGCGCTCTGAATCGTGTTTTTAAAAATTACTGTGGAAAGATATAGGCAGGAGCATCCTCCTCCACAAATCACAACGGGCGTCCAAGCAACTTTTTTTAACAAAATACAATACTGCAGCAAAAGTTCCTCATTATATATCGGGCTTCTTTAAGACGAGAAGGGAAAGGAATCAATTTAGCAAAGAAAGAAATATTTCTTGCGAGTGTAATAAAGAGAAGCAGTGTGGCTGAGAGACAGGGGACGGCGGAGCGAATGGATGGATGAATGAAACACATCTCTGGCTCCCTGCAGGATATTTCTCTGGCCCCGATCCAGATGATATCCTGCGCGCTGGCGACCCTCACCGCGCTCCTTTCGACGGCTCTCCGGTTGGAAGCGGCGGGTCTTTCTGGCAAGGCAGGCGCCCCCGGACGCCGTTGCTGAGCTGCATCGCGGGGGGAAAGAGAGGGAGGGAGGGAGGCGATCTGGCGGCCCCTGGAGAGCGGCCTGGCCTCTCCCCTACCTTAGCTCCCGAGGGGGCTTCAAAGGCATGTTACGCAGTGGGGCGCGGGGAGGGGGGCGCCCTTTCACTGGGGTCCAGCTCACGGCCCTCGGGCCGTTGGATGCCTGGCTGTCCCCTTCGGGTGGGAATGGCGTCGGGGTCCCCCTCTCTCTCCCTCCCAGCCCCTCGTATTTGACAACATCTCCCCACAGGGCCAGGTTCGTATTTATGTTGCTCCGACGTCCCCTGCCTGAGAGTCTATTGTAACCCAACACCTGACGTGAGCGAGTCCCATTGCTGCGCGCAGAAAAGGTTTAGTCAAGCACATAATGGGATCGCAGCAGAAAGCTTTTCAGAAGCGGGGCCCGCGGTAAACTTCACCACATGAACTCCGTTTCCAGGGCTGTTAAGCTTTTAATTGGGGGGAAGAAAATCAGAAGGAGAGAGGAGGAAATTTCAAGGCGACGAAAACGTGTTCGCAGTTAGCGCCCCGAAGAATAGCTTGAAAGGAGATGAATGCGCCAAACATATGGTCCCAATCACGTCGCGGGGAGAGAGAGAGATTTGGCCAGCCCAGGGGTCCTCCGTTGAGGGATGGATGGGAAAGAGCTGCCACGAAGCCGAGGCGAGGGGAAGGGGCGCAGGAATCCGCCCGAGATCCCCTCCCGATCTTTGCCCCGCTCTAGCTGATCTCCTCCAGGCATAATCGACGGCTTGTTCCGAACGGCAACGAGGGCGTTTTGGACTAGCTTCACATCTCACTGAGATATTGTTGTGTGGAGATTATTTAGAGGATGTAGGAAACCTCAGAAGCACACGGCCCTGGGGGAGTGGGGGGGACGAGCTGGGCAGGGCAGCCGGGGAGGGTGGCGTCAACTCCGTGGTACCGGTTGCCCAACAGTCCGCGTGCCAGTTCAATCAACTTTCCTAGGGGAGAAACCCACCAAATTAGCTCAGCGGAGGAAGAGGCCGGTTACATTTCGCACGCCTGGCTAATACGCTGCCACTGTTTATTGCGCCCGATCCCCAAGTTTCTTTGTTGCGTGACTAATGGAAGGTTTCAGGGCGGTTACTGAAGCCATAGCACCTGCCTTGGTCAAAAGTCCATTTTTGTTGGAGAGCTTCTGCGCTCCAGAGTTTCCCGCTACGCCACTTAAGGAAGCGGCAGTGTCTCCACCCAAGTCGAGCCAAGGAACAGACGCGCTTCGAAGGGGAAGAAAGGACCTATCAGCGTTTTCAGAAGAGGTCCTTCACTGGTGAGAGCGCTATGCAGTCAAATGCACCCTTGGCCGCAACAAGCCCCACTGACTAAAGTCTCACGAACTTACAGAACTCTCAGGACCCCGTGCGCAACGTGAGACGCGCTCTCAGGCTCAGAGAAATCGGTGGGGCGCAGAGCCCGCAGGATGCTACGCTGCAACCTGACCCCACAGGGGAGGCGCGTTTTACTTCCGAGGAACCGGGCAGGTGCTCTGTCGTCTTTGAAAGGCCACATCAGCAAGCGAACATCTTTGTGTTCCGACAGTACACGGCGGAGCATGTATTCGGAGTTCGCTTGTCACCACCACCCAACACATTTCGATTCTACCGTCAACTTTATAGGGTGCGTAGAAAAATAATAAATAAATAATAAATAATAAATAAACCCAGGACGGTGGGTGCGCTGGAGAGAAGTAAACGCAACGTTCAGGAAAAGCCTAGGCATTTTGGCTGATAACTTTGACTGAACCCCACCAAATTCGGAATAAACATACCCGGGATTCAGTTGTCCTGGTGCATGCTCTAGTTATCTCCCGCTTGGACTACTGCAAGGCGCTCTACGTGGTGCTACCTTTGAAGGTGACCCAGAAACTAAAACTAATCCAGAATGGGGCAGCTAGACTGGTGACGGCAGCTGAGACCATATAACACCGGTCTTGAAAGACCTACATTGGCTCCCAGTATGTTTCCAAGCACAATTCAAAGTGTTGGTGTTGACCTTTAAAGCCCTAAACGGCCTAGGTCCAGTATACCTGAAGGAGCATCTCCATCCCCATCGTTCAGCTCCGACACTGAGGTCCAGCACCCTGAGCCTTCTGGCGGTTCCCTCCCTGCGAGAAGCAATGCTACAGGGAGCCAGGCAGAGGGTCTTCTCGGTAGCGGCACCGCCCTGTGGAACGCCCTCCCAACAGATGTCAAAGAGATAAACTACTACCTGACATTTAGAAGACATCTGAAGACAGCCCTGTTCAGGGAAGTTTTTAATATGTGACATTTTTAATCTTTGTTGGAAGCCGCACAGAGTGGCTGGGGAGACCCAGCCACATGGGAGTGGTACAAATAATAAATTATTATTATTATTATTATTATTATTATTATTATTAACCTGATATTGCGTATGTTCTCTGACATCGGACCATAGCTGTCAACTTTTCCCTTTTCTTGCGAGGAATCCTATTCGAAATAAGGGAATTTCCCTTAAAAAATAAGTTGACAGCTATGCATCAGACACTTTAGGAATACAAGTCCCACTTACAACCTCAGGGTTTATTTCCAAGCAAATATACGGGCCATTGTCGTGTCGGTGCGATTTGAGCATTATCTGCCCCATTTATTTGACAGAGCATTCACTTCCCTGGAAAATTACTCCTCAGTATAAGGACGTTAGGATCGGGACTCTTACATCGTTCCAGGAGACGCCAGAACGTTCTAGTTTTGCCATAGAACCGGTTTACAGCAGAGTGTGGCTATTACACGATTCTGACCAGAGGAAATCAATTGGCCGTTTCTCAAGCTGCAGTTGTTGTTTTTCAAAGACTGGGCTGGAAGAAATGGAACAAATGCTTCTCTCCCTGCAAAGTTTGGAAAGGGCTGCGCGTTAGTCCGGTCTGGACCTCTGGGGCAAGAATGTCCTGAGCTGGAAATGGCTGCCCCGCAGCTTGCCCGTCCCTGGGGGGCGTTTGACTTTCGGGGCACAAAGCAAGTAGCCTCCTCGTTCCCGAGCAGGACTTCGGTGGGATCGGACCCCCTCTGAGCTGGAAATGAGCCACGCATTGAACTGTAAAGGCTGCGTTTATTTTTATTTTCTATTTAGGTTTTTTTGTATGGGAAAAAAAATTCACACAGCCGAGTTTATATAATCTGGAGAACGAATGAGCCCCAGCTGCATAGTAAACAGCCGTGGAAACCTTCGGAAAATGAATAGAATTAATAAAGGTCACTGCTCACCAGCCATTCATAAATATTTGGTGACACGTTTCTTGTTCAGGTTAACTCGCCGCCCACGCCCGCTTTAATATACAGGGAAATTACTTGTTTCTAGCATGCAAAAAATACAAGGCTGGATCAGTTTCTACAAAAAGCAGGGCTTCCCTTTTCTTTTTGTTAAATATTTGCATTGTTGCTTATTGCTTTTTAAACAGGTTACAACTCCGTATTAGGATCTCAAGAGGCGAATCGGAGGAAGTCTCGGCGTGATTATAGGATGAGGGCCATTAGCCCAGTCCAACTGACTTTTTTTTTTTTTTTAAATGGGGTGGTTTAGAGAACAACATTTTCGCTGTGTCCAATAAGGTCTTACTCTGAGCGCACAGGATTTCAGCCGCAGAGATGCAAGGAAATCAAGATTTGGAGAAGGCTGCGCGTAACCCAGCCCAAGAGAGAAACTGTTCTGATAGTCACAAATTTTTAAATTTTTTAACCGGACTTCCAAACGAAAAACTGTTTAACAATCCCCCCGCGTTAAAATCCGTTGGTGTTTGTTTGTTTGAGAATGTTCTCGAGGTGCTTCCAGTTTCAAGAGGACACGAAAAACACCCGTGGTGGCAGGACCAGGTAGGAGGAGGACCCGTTCCTTTGGCTCGCCCCCAACCCCAAGCCGGGCAGACCTTTCCCCCTCCACCCAGTTCCGCCCTGCCCCCCCCATCCTCCTTCAGGCGCTTTTCCCGGGAAACTCATTGCACCACCCGCCCCTTCCAGGTTCCTCCACTCTAACCTTTTTGGACCAACCTGCTAAAGAGACAGTCTGCTGCGAGCAGTATTTGTGCGTCTCGTTATACTTTTATAAACAGGCCGTGGGATATGACTGATGAGTAGACGTTTTGGGCTTGATCGGTCATATGAAGCCATATATTTGCCCAGGAGGAGGGGGTGGAAGAATGGGAAATATATAGAGCTCTAGAGGCCCGGAAGGGAGGGCGGTGGGATGGAGAGAGAACGATCTACGCCCTCCTCACCTCCCCCGTCACTTGCAAGACGTATTGGCGCTAAGAAATCAATGACAAGTTCAGGACTGGCGAGCCCCGAGGTGGGAAGACGGCGTTGAATTCGGAGACGCGGCAGGAGGAGGCGGCCAGGGAACTTTTGCAAATTGCGTAAAAGCGGGAGACGGGTGGGGAGAGTTTCCCTGGAACCTGAGACCGGGGGCGAAAGGGAAGTTTTAGTTTTCCAAAGTCTCGGGGTCGAACTGGTCTTTGGTGCGCGCGCCCCTCCCCGCTCGCCCCCCGACAGGCGAGGCAGCTCGCCTCTCCACTGCCTTCTGCAAAGCGTGCAAGGGAGCTAATTGGAGAGTCCCGGGAGAAAGGTTTCTCCTGAAGAGGAGACGCGCAGCTCTGCAGCCTCGCTGCTCTGGGCGCACCGAGGGGAAACCGGCAAAACCGGTCGGAACGCGCGAGGAACTTGGCGCAAGGAGAGCAGGCGTTGCAGGCCCGTTTCCGGACCGCGGCTAAGCGTAAGCGCAAGAGATTTGGGCCGAAGATGCAACCAAACCCAATCGCGCCGGTCGCCTCTTGCGCGTCGGCTGCAGATTAGGCTGGCCAGTAAAGGAGATGTCCTTTGAAGGCTACTGCATAAGCCACGTGTCAACAGGATGGGGGCATTGCCTGCCCTAAACCCAGGCGGCTGGGGCCGTGGCTACGCAGCACTCTGTACATGCGCAGGGGCAGCCTAAGGCCACTTCAAATGCCGCACGTTTGTATTGCTCATCCTTGGTTTGTATCCGTGTAGGGAAACTTAAAACATTAGCGGTGGGGAGGTCAGTTTTTGCAGCGCAGGAGACATGCTCTAATAAGACACTTGAGCAAGTTAGTCCCTTGACAAGATACAGCCGGCTGAAGATCCCTGTTTGCAAAGGAACTCACAGCAACCTTTTACTAGCAAGGTTCTTCTCCATCTGAATTTTTTTCTGCATGACTGATGCAAATCGGCGTTTGTGTTTTGGAATCATGTTTGCCTTTTCAAAATATGCACAATTTTCATTTTCTTAAAACGTAAGCTGATCATAACTGAACAGCTACTTGCGGAAAAGTTCCATTTAAATCAATCAGACCAACTCCCAAGTACTGTAAATGCAAAGAGAATCAACTGACGCCTATACCAGAATCTGGCGCTAGTGAAAAGTGGCTGCGTGTAATTAATAAATACACTTTGTCACCCCCCCCCCCAAAAGAGAAGTAGTTGCCTCTTCTAACACAATCGGACAAATAATTTTTCATTCTATAAAAATGTGGAGCAGGAAAAAAGGGGCATTCAAAATGTAGCAATAGAGGAATGCGACCAATTTCTCATAGACACCAGTGGCAATGTTCAGTCCAAGCATTTTGTGTCCCAAGTGCAAGACAGTGAGGGCAAAATTAACGTTTAATATACTCCAAAAAATGAAGAATTTTGAATTTTTCAAGTTGTGAGCTGCAGGCTGCAGTGCTCCACCCAGACCTGGAAGTTCCATTGAACTCACTTCTGAGAAGACATGTATAGGATTGCACAGCCATTGTTGCAGATTCAAGTTTGGGTTGTCTAATTTTGGTTGTGATTTTAAAAATAATGCTTCCTTTTCCCATCTTGATTTAATAACCCATTCTTCTGATGGGCTGTGACTTCCTTTTCAGGGGAACAGCAGCTGCATGGATATGGCTGGATAACTCACCTGTGGAGTGGGGCAGGGAGACAAAGACACCCCATCTTTTAAGTGACCCCCCAAGTAACCTAGAGTTAATTTCCTACACACAGGCCTCTTTAAAACTGGCCCTCTTTCTGTTGAACCCAAAACCTGTATTGCCTAGAACCTTTTTGTACAGTGGTACCTCGGGTTACATATGCTTCAGGTTACAGACTCTGCTAACCCAGAAATATTACCTTGGGTTAAGAACTTTGCTTCAGGATAAGAACAGAAATCATGCTCCGGCGGCGCAGCGGCAGCGGGAGGCCCCATTAGCTAAAGTAGTGCTTCAGGTTAAGAACAGTTTCAGGTTAAGAACGGACCTCCAGAACGAATTAAGTACTTAACCTGAGGTACCACTGTATTGGCAATAATCACACATGGCAAGAACAGTCCATGTGGCTCTCATATACAGTGGTACCTTGGGTTACATACACTTCAGGTTACAGACTCCACTAACCCAGAAATAGTACCTTGGGTTAAGAACTTTGCTTCAGGATGAGAACAGAAATCACGTGGCGGCAGCCAGCGGGAGGCCCCATTAGCTAATGTGGTGCTTCAGGTTAAGAACAGTTTCAGGTTAAGAACGGACCTCCGGAACGAATTAAGTACTTAACCTGAGGTACTACTGTATATGAAAATGGTTTGAGATACAAATGAATGTAACAGGAATGGTATAAAGTGGTATAAACACAGCTGTGCTACCTCTTGCCTTGCCACTATTTTAGAGCTGCAATGACAACTTTGTATGGTACTTCTCCAGCATTATTTTCCATGTGAAAATGATTAATTCAGTTAAGGGTTTAAACCACATGTTGGCACATGCAGCGCTAGTTATTTTGGACAAGCCACAACTAACAGTGGTTGCTAGCAGTTGA